ATTGTACTAGGGAACGGAAATTTTAGAACGATCAGGGAAAGAAAGCAAAAAATCCAATAATGTTCGTAATTTGTTGGCTTTAATTTAAATTCATGTTTATTTTAGGAAAACTGTCTTGTGACTTGAGGAAAGTTAGAACTACATTTGTTAGATCTGATTTTACGTCTGGTATTTCAAATGATGTTGGAACACTATCTGAAACACGGCTTAATTAATTAAAATCAGGTTAATTACGTTCAGTTGGCCGAGCAGAATAAAGTGCAGAAAAGTAAAGGAACACACAATATGGTATCTCAGTTCGGTACAAACACGTACATATGCGGGACCACGCCCAGACAATAAATAGTTCACTATGTTCCAGAAATTACAGACACCGGACGGACTTATTCACTTATGGACTCCCTCCTAGACAATGATTCCGCCGTGATGAATCTCCACAGTGATTGTTTAGCGTGCACCACACGTTTTCTATTCACCTGGTAAACTCCCTTCGACCGCCAGAGCTTCCTCCCGAAAGTAACAAATCTCTCACTCGAAGAATGGTCTCAATAAAAACTCACAAGCATCTCTCTGAATATTTCTCAGTATTAAGCTCTCACATTCACAGACTTTTCTTCTGGAGATGTTCTATTAAAATCACATCCCATATACTCTGAAACAAAGCTTTTAAATAAAGTCAAGAGAATCTCATTCAAATCCACTCTCGATAAGATCTCTATTATCTCCATGATTCTCTATCCTAGATAGGCTCTAAAATATCTTCACATTATCTTCTCAATCTCCAATTCAAATTATGCAGTAAATTTTCAAATCTGAATTAATTATCCTTGTTGCAAGATAACACTTGATCTTCAAATGCCTTATATTTCATTATAGCAAGTTATATTTAGATTTTCTTTGATCAAGTCAAATTTCAAGTTCCAATCACATGTGCAGCTCAAGCTTAATCTTCTTTGTGTAGCTCACGTGAATGCATATATATATATATATATATATAAACTATTCAAATTTGAAATCTCTAATTTTGAACAACTCCTAATAATCAACTTGATCTTCATGCAAGCCACATATATATATATATATATATATATATATATATATGCCATTCAAATTTTAAATCTCCAATTTTGAACAACTCTTAACAATAATCGGATGAAGGTGAGAATTTGAATCTGAAAACAACTTGATCTTCATGCAAGTTTTATCTCCCATTTAAATTTAAATCCATATCTCCTTTATCTTCCACGTTTAAGATTCTACCTACCAATTTCAGGTTAGTCTTAATTAATTAGGACACACAAATTGTCTTCTGAAATAACATGATAGAGGAAAGTTAGAATTTGATTACCAATTTCAGCTCAGTCCTTAGGTCGCTATGGTCAATGTTGCTAGGCTAATGAGGTCGATTGTAAGAAGCTGGAAATATTATGGCCCGTTTGGTTCACATGTTTAATTTAGTAATTTTAATTCTGAATTCAAATTTTGTGAGAGAACTATTGACGAGAACTTTTTTTTATTCAATTTTTTGTGAGAGAAAATTATTGTAGCAGAATCACAATCATGATTTTAAATGCGTGAAACAAACAAGGCCCTTAATTGAGATCCGACTCTTGTGTCTCTTGTTCTTGTTTCTTTTCATGTCAATCCAATTATATATATAATGTCACATTCAAATGAAATGCTACATCAACTAAACATATCATGTCATATCAGTTAAAAGATCGTATTATTTAAAATGTTTATAAAATTAATGTGGCATCATATCATTGAAGGGATATGAAAAAAGAGATATAGATACATGTTTGAGCCAAATTTGTAGTATTTCTGAGAGTTTGTTCATATATATATTTTCTCGCAGTCATAGGTATCTATACGCTAGTTACCCATGCAAAGCTTTTATACGTAAGAGTATAATCTCTTCTCCCCTATCTTCTTCGACAGCTAATCTCATGACTCATAATACATCATTAATGCAAATGTAGCATTCTCAAGACGTGACTTTCTTTGAATTCGCAGCACAAAGAATTTGAAAAGGCTCAGAAGTAAGGACGACATAATGAATCCAACGCTAGCCTAGCTAACTTTAGCAGTTATGCATTTCATCTTAAACTAATGGCAAATGGTCCTGCGGGGCCTAAAGAAAGGTAGAATAACACAATCGGAACAGTTACTAAATAAATTTATGGACCACGCTCAATTAAGACCAGTAAATCCATCAAAATTTGGATGGTCCAAACCGATTGGCATGTGCACCATTTGAAACTAAAAATTGAGCGCTCGAGAAAGCTGAAGACGGGGTTGTGACATGTAACCTTCGCATGGATTTCACGTGATCTGGACCATTATTTATTTACGTCTCGTTTTCTCAAAGCCAAACTCAAGGTGGTTGAGAGTCATGCAACAAGTAGCTCGCTAGATATAGCTGGAAGAAGAAAAAATTATATCACCCCCTTATTGAGAAAAACCTAGCTTTTAGTCATGTGTATCATATATATATATATATATATTCATATCATGAGCCACTTCTTCACATGCAAAATTTTACTAATTGAGTGGTCAATGAATTATAATAGCTAACCTGTTATTTAGTAGATAATTTTGTGGACATGTTACGCTAAATAGCTTGCTATGCTAGCAACCACATCATCTAAAAACTTTTTTTTTTTTTGGGTAGAAAATCTGAAACATTTAATTGCGGAATTAAAATTGAGGTAGTTTACAAAGAATTACGGAAGAAAAAGGAAAGAAAAACTAAGGAAGCAGTCGGAAGCAAAAAGAATTAAGAATTAGGCTTTAAGGATGATATTATGGGATGTGATGGGGTAGGCAATTATTAGTAGGCCAACTTTGCTGGTCCTGATGAAAGGGATTTTGGAAGTAGCTAGAACCCTCAGATATTCTGATAGTGTCTCTCAGACTCTCTCTCTCAGTCTCTCTCTCTCTCTCTCTCTCTCTCTCTCTCTCTCTCTCTCTCTCTCTCTCTCTCTCTCTCTCTCTCTCTCTCTCTCTCTCTCTCTCTCTCTCTCTCTCTCTCTCTCTCTCTCTCTCTCTCTCTCTCTCTCTCTCTCTCTCTCTCTCTCTCTCTCTCTCTCTCTCTCTCTCTCTCTCTCTCTCTCTCTCTCTCTCTCTCTCTCTGTATGTAAACTTGCTGTCTCTCTTTTTTTTTTTTTTTTTGAAGGATGATCATGATGATTTGCTTAGTATGTGTGTGCTTCATCAATACCATCTGGTCGGAATATAACCCACCAACAACATATCTTACTTTTTTTCCCCCCTAACCAGCCTGATATCATGATCAGTTGCATCAATATTAATGCCATCCTCCATTTCACTTATATTATTATATTTTTTTCTCTTTAATTTTGCTACATATTTATTACGCTTAATCACTTTCATGTATAGATAGATACAAATATATATTAACTAATATTTAGTTTTGAACCACTTGGGTCCACGATTTTCTTTCCCGCCCTTGTGTTAATAATCCATATCGTTTGCTTTCTTCTTTTGCTTTCTTTTTTATGATTCATGTTATTAAGGAAAAGAAATATTTGGAATATTAAAATATTTTTCTCCCTGAATCCAAATATAGTTTCTGGAACTTCAGGTAAAGAGTATAGTAATATATTATATGCGTACGCTCCACATTATATATATGTAGTGAATCATTGATTTTAAAGGATTAATTGTATATGTAGCACACCACTCGTTGTTTATCTTTTTGTGTGATAATTTCTTTTCTTTTTCTTTTTCAACAAAAGTAGTGATATTGTAGATATATGTATGTACTAAGAAACTTATTTGAACTTTTCCATTGATTTATCTTTTTATATATATCAACGATCTCAGGCTTGAACATGACTTTATACTTCACCCATAAAATAGTCATAAATGTTTTAGACCCCATTGAAGGATTGACAAGGATGATCAAGATGTGGTGTAGATTCTATATAGTCCCAAGAAAATAATGGTGGTCCGGTGCGAGTACTAGATGAGGATAGAAAAAGGCTGAGTGATAAAGGGCATTGAGCGGATAGCAAATAATGCAAATATATTTTATATATATGTGTGCGTGTGTGTGTGTATAAATATATATTTATATATATATATCATATTTCTAAAGTAATCCATTTAATATGTAATCTGCTGGAAGATATAGAAAAGAACCTGATGAGGGCCGCTTTCATATTCATGAGACCTTTAAATGGCATAAAGGATTTTTCTTTTCTCTTCTTTTCTTTTCTCTTCTTTTCTTTCTGATTCGCTTTTTTACTTTCTATATATATTTTCCAACTTAAAAAATTTATATATGACACAAATATGGTCCCTATATTGTCAAATTTAATTTGCTGATCAGTTGAATGTTCCATGGACATATATTATTAGCTCCTATTATATACTCATAAATTGACAACTCATTCTGGCACCCAAATTGCATGTTAAATGATTACTGGGGCACTCTACTCTAATTATTGGAGATGATCACAAAATGGAGTTTTCAGTCTATTTCAAGCGCCTACACAATCTGGTGGACAGCACAACAAAATCAATACATGTTAAACAGACGGAAATATTAGAAACAATCATTTTTGTCTTTACAACGATCTGATGAAATACAACAATATGTAGTTTATAATAATATATATAGTTCCACCACACCACCTTCTAATTTTACATATTAGGGACAGAAAATTGTAAAATAAAACGAGGAAAAAAAAAACTGAAATCACTAATCCTCTCCTAGAATTTTCTAAATATAAAACTATGACAATTCTGGATGTACATGGCAAACTTGATAAAAAAAAAAAAGCCTCTCACTAATTAAAAGCCTAAAAGACTATATCCTAAGCAACTTCCCATGAGATTTTGTGATAGGCAGTTAGTAATCAAAAAACCATATTTTCCCACTAATTAATTGAATTTTCATCGTCCTACTAATTTTTTCCCCTCACCATCTTCAATATATATATATATATATATATATATATTATAATGTAAATTCATGATAATATTGTTTGTGTCGGTGGACGAGTAGTAGGAGTTCTAGTAGTGGTGGTGGTATGAAAGAGCATATTGTTGATGAAATGCGTTGTTGGGTCAGCTTTCCAGATGTGCTCAATGTCTTGTGCGATCCTCCTTGCATCAACAGACGCGCCAAGCAGGCCACGCTGAGTAAAGCCCACGGCATACAATCCGCATTCCCCTTTCCACCCGTTTGGGAACGGTTTTTGAGGCAATCCGTTTTTGTCAGAGAACATTTTCGTCTCCTGCTCACAATACAACATCAACAAATTTAAGCATATTTCACTTATGAATTGAATTACCTACCTAGAACAATTGATCACGTCATTTGTATCTATCTATCTATATACATATATATATATATAGTTATATAGTTATGTATACAAACTCGCCGTTGCATATATGAATGTTTTGTGCCTAATATTTGCATCGTAACAAATGATATTAGAACGCTTAAAATAAATTTACAAGTGGGTGTAATATATCTTCTAAGGGACGAGCTAGTATGAAAGAATTTAAAAAAGAAGAAGAAGAAGAAGAAATATCTATATATACCTTTAACCAAGTCATAACGTTACTTTTGTAGCCAGTTGCTAAAATGATGGCATCGAAGTTCTCCACTTTCCCATCGATAAACTCCACACCGTGGTGCGTTAGTCGCTTTATGGCCTTGCATACCTGCATACATATATATATATACACATATGGAAGAAACAAGAACATGATCACTTTTCTTCTCAACCATATTATTCTATTGTATATGTCACACATGCATATTAATTATAACATGTATAGTGGTGTATATATGTATGTATGTGTGTGTGTATATATATATATATATGCGAATTAATTTAGTTGACCTTGATATCTCCAGTTTTGATCTTGGCGAGTGTTCCAACGTCCAAGACAGGAGTTTTGCCGGACATGGTTTTGAGCTGGAGAGGACCAAGCTCTGGTCGAGTGAGTCCGAACTGAGAAGTGTCACCAAGCATCAAACGTGACATGAGAAGCAAAAATCGATCCACAAGACACACGGGGAACCACTTTAGTAACCACATCGATAGTCCAAAAGTTGACCTTCCAAGCATCTCTTGTGGCAAGACGTGCACCTGCACCCAACATATACATATAATAATATATAATTATTGTGTATATTCACCACAAAAAAAAAAAAAAAAAAAAGTTCTGGGTTTTTTTAACACAAAGGTTTTCTTTTTTTATTTTTTAATATTTTCTTGTTTTATGCGTGGTAGCTTAAGAAATTTGCTGGAAATGAATGATGCCCATGTTATCTTTTGATTTGTTAGAATCTGTAACACTGACTACTGCATATGATTCTTTACAGTGGAAAACTAATTGTATGCAGAGAAAAAGCACAGGTCAGTACAGTATGGTATAAGAATTTGGGCTGCTGATTGCGCATGCAAACGAATTCCGATAAAGCACAAAGATCTTTATTTTCATAGTAGCAGCTACAGAAAATTTATATAATGTAGCAAGCTAGCTATATATATAGCGGTCTTCGCCTACTTTGGCTTATATATACTACACCCCAAATATATGCACCAAACTAAGCGCCTAGCTCTATATATATATATATATATATATGTCTATCCTTCTAGTTAATCACTTTTCAAATTTCGGTTGACCTAACTTTTGATCTCCTACAAATGAGTACAAATCCTATGAATTCAATTTTAATTTACCTTCTCTTTAGAAAAAGGGTTTATATGAACTATCTCTTGTAAAACAAAAAACAAAAAAACAAAAAATAAATAAATAAAAAAAGTTAAAAGATTTGTATGCGGGTTTGAAACTTCAAACTCAATTATGATATTCTCAAAATGAAGATATAGAAAGATCAAAACACAATCCTTTTCGAATGACAAGAGAGGATAATTGACATCAGGAGCAGCTAGTACAGCTGGCACATCCCTACTTGCACTTGTTAGAAGAACAAAATAGTTCTTGAGAAGATTAAAATACACATTTTTTTTAATGAAAAAAGAGGATTACTAGCATCGGGGGCAGCTAACACATCCCAACACACGGTTGTTTAAAAACATGATGGTTGTGCTTACTCTTAGGTTTTTCCTTATATTGATCATGTGTGTGTATATAATATATAAATATATATATATATATATATGTAGTCATGAGTTGGGATCTTAGAGTTTTAAACTCACCGAGTCTCTGACCACAAGCGACGGACGAGCACTATAGTTGCAAAGATCCAAACAAACCTCCATACCTGAATTCCCACATCCAACAACCAAAACTTTCTTCCCACGGAACAACTCGCCGCTTTTATACGAACTTGTATGGACAATTTGACCACAAAATTCACTCAACCCTTCAACGTCAGGCCAAACTTCCTCAGCATTCTCTCCCGTCGCCACAACCAACCATTGGCTCACATACTCAATCTCACCCTCCGCCTTCAATCCAACCGTCTCGACCCTCCAAAGCCCGCTTCGGTGATCGAACCGAGCGCTCTCGACCGTCCGGTTGAACACCGGTTTCAGATCGAAACGCTGCACATAGTCCTTGAGATAGGTGACAAACTGTTGCTTTGTAGGGTAAGTAGGGAAATCTGAAGGGAATGGCATGAGAGGAAGCTCACAGAATTGCTTTGGGAGGTGAAGACGGAGGCGGTCGTAGGTCTTGAACTGCCACAATGAGGCTATGCAATTAGCCTTTTCGATGATCAAGCTCGGAACCCCTTTCTCCTTCAGGCAGGCGGCGGCGGCTAGCCCTGATGGTCCCGCCCCGACTATGATTGGCCCGGGAACCAATATCCGCCGCCGCCTTGGCACCGCGGACATCTTGGAGGCGAATTCGCGATCATGGACTTGTTTGCCTTCGATTTCTTTTAGATAGTCCATGAGAAGGGTCAAGGGATACAAATAAGACAAATGAAGAGTTTTGTACAGAAAACAGTTTTTGGGAAATGGGATTTTGCTATATATGTAGTTAACGAAAGGAAAGATCAAAGAACTTAGGATGACACGAAATAAAACGCAGTACTCGTGATAATTGGAACTATCTGTTCGTTTGGTTCATAGAAGTTTAAACAGCGATTCAAACCTTTTCTATTGCTAGGCTTTGGTTCATAGAAGTTTAAACATCAATTCAAACCTTTTCTATTGCTAGGCTAAGTTTTGTTTTTTTTTTTTCAGATTAGTACTAGTCAGTAGTAGTACTCAAGAGTTATGATCTTACCCGAAAAGGAGAATTTGGATCGGGTGGTGTATTGGGATTCTGAATTTCCTAGGTATGTGGGGGAATAATTTGAGGTTTTTTTTTCTTTGTTTTGGTTTGTTGAAGGAAAGAGAGGGAAGTGACACAGAGCTGAGAATTTGAAGAGTGAGGAAAATAAAGAAGTAGTTAGATGATGAGCATCATAATGGAACTGAAGTAGGATTCGATATATATGGAGGCGTGGAAGGTGGAAAACTCTGAATGTAAATTGAGTGGACCGAACACACCTCCATAGCAATAACTGCCGTTAACAAACAACAACCCTTTTTTTCTTTTTTCTTTTTTTGTTTTGTTTTTTTTTGTTTTTTTTTTTTTCTGAAATTCACCCACTAGACCAAGAGAGAGAAAGAGAACAAACATTCTATTTAGAGAACAATATAGCTATATATATTTATACTTACTCTATATATATATATATATATATATATATATACACCACACTATCTCTAGAGACAAAATAAAAAATAGAAAAAAAAA